ACCTTCATCTACATATTTCTTCCCATAACATTTAAGACAGTGTTCTATCATTTCCCTGAAAAATTCAAAACACACATTTGAAAAGTTCTAAGTGTTTTTATACACTATATTTTAACCCCATTGCCAACTCAAAATTAAGAAATTTGAAATACTAAGGGATTTTGATCACCAAATAATATTTTATTTAAATTAGGAACTAACTAAATTATACAGGGAAGTTACTAGGTGCCAGGCCCCATGCTAAACATATTAACATCAATTATGTAAGCATACATTTATTATTATTATCATTTGAGACAAAGTTTCGCTCTTGTTGCCCAGGCTGGGGTGCAATGGCACAATCTCAGCTCACCACAACCTTCACCTCCAGAGTTCAAGAGATTCCTGCCTTGGCCTCCCGAGTAGCTGGGATTACAGGCATGAGCCACTGCGCCCGGCAGCATACATTTAGTATTATAAAATAGCTCAAACATATTATTTCTTTACGTTTTTATGGCCAAAAACAAATAAGATAATACACATGTATTCAACTCAGTGACCAAAATTCCCAAATCCTCTTTGGCTATAATTTTAAATATTTCTCAAAGATATCAAAATATAATTGTTGTAGTTTATGCACTGGGTTTAATTTCAATCTGTAAAAGAACGCTCTTCTCCTTAAGGAAATCTGGATAGACAATAAATTAAAAGACTTACTCTGGCTCCAATGGTCCAAGTTCCTGAAGGCATGTATTCAAAGGAACTTTTCTAAAAGACCATGATTCAGAATCCACAAGCTGAGTTACATGATTCAGAAGTTTCATCTCATAATCAAATTCAAGAATCCTCCAATAACCTACAAATTTCAAAAGTTATATTTACCAAATAACTTTTTTTTTTTTTAAGGCAGGGTCTCAACTCTGTCATCCAAGCTGGAGTGCAGTGGTGTGACCTCAGCTCACTGCAACCTCCACCTGGGTTCAATCAATTCTCCCACCTCAGCCTCGAGTAGCTGGACTACAGGCATGCACCACCATGCCTAGCTAATTTTTTATTTTTAGTAGAAACTGGGTTTCCCCATGTTGGCCAGGCTGGTCTTGAACTCCTGACCTCACATAATCTGTCTGCCTCAGCCTCCCAAAGTGCTGGGACCACAGGCATGAGCCACCATGCCCGGCCGTGAAATGCCATTTTATAATTGATATGGCACAACCACTACCTCAGTGAAAGAAAAGTATATATCCACCATTTCTAAGGGAGAATGTTTCTATTCTTACTCTGAAAACATAAAGGCAACATTTTAAAAATGAATTGTGTGATATAAATCTGAGGAAGAGAGCAAGAAGTAATCTACACATCCCCCTACGAAAACTGTATCCATCCCCATGCTGCAGGTTAATACTGCACAGGGCTGTATTAAAATATATGGTTTGATTTGCCTTTCAAAAAAAAAAGCTTTAGGGATGGGCAGTGTGGCTCACACCTGTAATCCCAGCACTTTGGGAAGCCGAGGCAGGTGGATCACCTGAGGTCAGGAGTTCAAGACCAGCCTGGCCAACATGGGAAAACTCTGTTTCTGCTAAAAACACAAAAATTAGCTGGGCATGGTGGCATGCACCTGTAACCCCAGCTACTCAGGAGGCTGAGGCAGGAGAATCAATTGAATCTGGGAAGTGTAGGTTTGCAGTGAGCTGAGATCGCACACCTGCACTCTGGCCTGGATAACAGAGCGAGACTCTGTCAAAAAATAAAATAAAATAAAAAAGCTCTGACTCCAGAGTAGAGGCCAGTCAAAATACTAAAAATACCACAGGGCTTTTCCATCAATCCCATGCCCTAACACATGCTCCCATATTTTTTATACAGGCTTATTATACAAACTAACATGTTCAAAAATATGTTGAGTCATTACTAAATGAAACACAGTCACATCTTCCAAGCAGTTTGGAAATAACAATGAAGCTATTATTATTCTTTTTTGAGACGGAGTCTCACTCTGTCACCCAGGCTGGAGTGCAGTGGTGCTACCTTGGCTCACTGCAACCTCTCTGCCTCCTGGGTTCAAGCGATTCTCATGCCTCAGCTGACCGAGTAGCCAGGATTACAAGTGCATGCCACCACAACCAACTAATTTTTGTATTTTTAGTAGAGGTGAGGTTTCACCATGTTGGCCAGGCTGGTCTCAAATTCCTGGCCTCAAGTGATCCGCACCTCTCAGCTTCCCAAAGTGCTGGGATTATAGGCGTAAGCCATCACGCTGAGCCCAAATGACACCATCCTTAAACCCAAAGGAATATTAAATAAACTATATGCAATAGGTCGAAGATGTCCAAAAACTTCCCTCCCTTATGACGCCCAATTTCATAATTGTTATAATAGTATTAACGCTACCTCCAATTTCACAGGCATTTAGAACTTGTAATTGGATCATTATTTCTTCCTCACTTGCCTGAATTTGATCAAGCAAATCTTCAGTTGTATACTGAAAAAAAGAAAAAAATATTTTAAGATCCTTGAAGATTAATTTTTTTTTTTATTTCTTGCTGAATTTTGGGGAATAAATACACAGAACAGATTAAGGCAATATTTATGCATTAGCTCAGTTTCTTTTGTTAATGTATAATGATTTCTACACAAAAATCAATGGATGCCTTATAAAACAAATAGAGGTAAATCTTCATGACACTGGAAAATATGAAAATTAAATATGACACCAAAAACCCAAGCAACAAAAACAAAAAAAAATAGATCAAGCCACATCATCAAAATAATAATCTTTTATACTTCAAAACACCATCACCACAAAAGGACAAATACCATGATTCACTTATCTGAGGTATTAAGAGCAGTCAAATTTATAGAGATAGTCAAATGGTGGTTGCCAGGGGCTGAGGGGGTAGGGGAAGCTTTTAGCTATACACATGGCATTATGATGTATAGGATTTGCTTCAAAATACTCTAGAAAAAAAAGATGGAAGGATAGAAAGGGGATAGAAGAAACAAGACTGACAAGACCTTAATTGTTCAAGTGAATGTCGAATACATGGGTCATTATACTGCTCTGCCTGCTTTTGGGTATGCTTGGAATTTTGTAACTTTTAACACAGGCATTTAACAGCTATGTAACATAAATTTTAAAAAGTAAGAATGTGACCACTAAGTGCCTCTGATTATAGTTTTTAAATTTCAAATAAAAAAGTAAAAATAAGAGTCTTACTTTTGAGCAATTTGAATCCTTCTCTTTTTGACTGTCAGGTCCTTCATACGGATTTTCCATCAAAAGTTTCTTTAGCTTCTTTAACTTAGGTCTACATCTTCTTAATTCCCAATAATTATTAGAAAAACCAAAGATCTAGAAATTATAATATATCACAAACTTTTAGGGGCCATTCTAAAAGAAAATTTCGTACAAAATTCCAGCTAATCAATCTGCCCCCTCAACAAGTATGGAGAAAAGGAAGCCCCAAGGTATTCTGCTTTGTATCAGGAAGGTATTTATCCAACCATCTCCACTAGATGGATGGGCATCCTCAAGAACATCTTTTCAAATCCCATTAATAAGACACTGCCAAGACTGTAAGAATCTCAAATGTACTCTGAAAACTAGAGTTATGCCCCAGAAAAAATGATCAGGATGGTGACAATTCTGCAAACCAGGTGGAAACAACTAAAAATGGATATACTTAAGACACAAAAAAGAGGAAAAAAAAAGAGAAAAGGTATTATCATAGTCTTTAAATAGGGATTTTAAAGCAAAGAGGATGTACCCTTGTGTTGCTCATGTCAAAATGAGGCAGAAGTTAAGGGACAGAGATTCCTGATTAACCCAAGACATTACTACTGTTTAGAACTGCAGCTAATTCCATTGTTGGATTTGTGAAATCGTGAGAGGCCTACCACTCAAAATCCAGTTGATAGAAGCTAGAGCATGGATGAATATCTGTTATCCCTGCCTGTACATACAGGACTTGCCTAGTTCCTAGCATGGAGTAGATGCCCAATAAGTGTTTCATAAAAGGAAAAAAGAGGCTAAGCTGGATTATCTGTGGGATGCCCTCTAACTCTGAAATGGAAGGACAGGGGATGCTTCTACTTTCAAACTAGGATAAGGCTTTATTGACAAGATGAGGCCTAGAACCCAAAGGAGATGTTGCTGTATCTAAGGCCTTCAAAAGAAGAGCTTAAGGACCAAATCAGACAGACTGATTTTATCCATAGTTAAAAGTGGTTTGCTGTTGTATGAGAGCCTCAGAAAAAAAAAAAGCAAAACAAAAAAATGGCAGCCCTCTGGCTACATCCAATACACAGATGTTGTGGTATGCTTTTGCGTACTGGGGAGTTTTGGCATAGTGTTTCAATTAGATGCCAACATTAAAAAAAAAAAAAAAATAGGAGATTTCACCCCAAAAATCTAAATTTCAGTAATTACTTGGAAAAAAAAAAAAAATCAAAAGTCGAGCAATGCTAGGCCTACTTTCCCACAAGTCAGCTGAGTAGTGGCATCTACCTACATGCAGATTGTGCTTTCCAATTTGCTGTAGATCCAACCACTCTGTTATTCCTGGCTATCTACCACCATTTATCAACCCCAGCCTATTTCTTATCTAACCCCTTTAAGCACCTAAGGTTCAATCACGGATTACACCTTTGGTTAGTGGATCTACATTTTAGCCAATCTCAGGACATAGAATTTTCATAACAAGCAAGAGCTCAAAGATTCCCATAGGTATTATTATGCCCTCACAAAAGCACCTACAGAACAGGTAAGTGATGAAAAAATAACATTACTTTTTTACAAAAGGATGAACTGCCAATATTTTTAGTTAATTACAACGAAAGACTTAAAAAAAACTCTACAAAACCCAACGTAGAATATTTACTGGAAGTTCCTCTGTTCTAGTAACATTACATGAATCACTGAAACTTTCCAGCATTTTCCCTTCTTTCCTCTCCAATTCTCTATTTAAGGATATAGTTGGCTTAAAGTCATTCTCAAAGAAATAAGGGCTATGGCTGCATTGTTATATGTGTAACAACTTGGACAGAATAGAGACTTGTTTGGTTACCACCATCAGTATTCTCCAAAATAATTAAAAATTTGTTATAGTTGGCTACCGATATTAATGAACTAAACCAGCCTCATAGCTAAGAAACACACTTCATTCAAAAACTCAAATTTCTTTATTTCTTTTTTTTTTTTTTGGGGACAGAGTCTAGCTCTGTTGCCCAGGATGGAGTGTAGTGTAATGATCTCAGCTCACTGCAACCTCCGCCTCCTGGGTTCAAGCAGTTCTCCTGCCTCAGCCTCCCAAGTAGCTGGGACTACAGGCGCACACCACCATGCCCGGCTAATATTTTGTATTTTGGTAGAGACGGGGTTTCACCATGTTGCCCAGGCTGGTCTCAAACTCCCGAGCTCAGGAAATCCACCTGTCTTGGCTTCCCAAAGTGCCAGGATGACAGATATGTGCCACCACAGCTGGCCCAAATTTTTTCATTTCTCCACCTCATAAATATTACTAAATGAACCAGTTATGGTTTGAAGGAGTCTCCTTTCTAAACACATCCACAGCAAAAATCTACTAAAAATAGGTAGAAGTTTTAGAATGAGTAACTAAATAACAAACTGCACATTACAGAAAAAAGGTCAAATTGTCTGGGACTTGAAAATCAAAACGGGAAAAAACAGACAAGTTCACAAGACTCCAACAAAAAAGCAATAATAATCATAATAATGCTGAGAAAGTCAAATTTCTTTAAAGAACTTCTTGATTCTCCCTTATTATAGATTTTACACCTAAAGTTTTTCACTAAAGACCAGATTACCACGTCTGTTTTCATTCTTAGACTGCTATAAATCAGAGTATAGAACAGAGCACCTCAGTGTGAATAATGTTACAGTGCGCCTCTTCCTTCTTCAGCTGGTCTGGAGTTTTACAACCAGGAATGAAAAGCAGCACATTGGAAGTGTCTGCTCTCTTCAAGTCGTATGTTTTGTCCTTACTGCACAGCACAGCTTGCTCGTCTTTATCACCACGAATCACCAGACTGTAGCAAAATGGGGGGAAAATATACGGTTTATTGACACTCCACTAGTCATTTTCATTATAAACAGTTGTCAAACTCTCTAGGCTTACAGAACTTAGAATTAAGTCCTTTTCTAAGTTTTTAAAATAACCTTTATTTTTAAAAAGTTAAGTGCGTTAGAGGAAACTGAAAAACACAAGAAGCAAAGAACAAAGTCACTCACCATCACAAACAGTTTATAGTTTGACAAGTTCTTCAAGGTCCTGTGAGTGTGTAGGCACAACATCCAATTTTATGGGACTGAGATCGTACAGTATGTATCATGATTTTTCAGGTCATGAATATTTACCAATTCAAAATCCCAAAGTTATATGAGTATTTTGATAACCAAGAATACACTACACCAACTCAATCTGTTAAAAAAAAATGTAATCCTCCCTGTCTTGGGATGAAAATTTCATAGAAGACAAAAATGGCAACACGCCTCTAGAAAAAAGCATTGGCAGAGTTCCAATTTAAATACTACATTCTCTTAATGCTCAATTTAAAATGAAACATACAGTAACAGAATACACTAAGTATATGTTAGGGACAAGCTGCCTCAGAAAACCCCTTCTGCGTAAGCTGACCCCTTCCCCACACTCTGATTGCTCTGGAGCTGCATTCCTGAACCCCTACCAAGGCACCACATCAAGGCTGCCAGATGTGCTACAATTAAGCAAAGCCTGATTACAGCCATCCCGGCAGCTGGAAGGAGGACAGGGAAAACAAATGTTTGTATCCATACTTGTAAATTCCTGTTTGACACATATCTGTAAAAGAATCCTGGTTTCTCTTTTTAAACAAAACCCCACCACAAAAGTCACAGGATAATGTATCATAGTTCTGTTACAAGTTGACAAACGATCTCTGTGTCTGGTACCAGCGGATAGCTTACCTCAGTCCTGAAACTCCCTTATTCCCCTCTCACCCCATATAAACCCCCGTTTTGTAAGCTCAGGGCTGCCTCCTCTGATTGTTACAGAGCAGCCCAGCAGATTAATAAAACTTGCTTGCCTGACTTTGGGTCTATTCTCCTTTCTCTCGGCCACCCTTACGGTATACAGAATACACTAAGCATGTTTCTAAGAGAATTCATTAGCAGATCTATACCATTAAAATATTAGCAAGGTATATTTCCATTGAAGTACTTAATGTATCCCTATAGTACAGCCAAAAGAGGATGCATACATCAATGGCTATCATCAAAACATAAATATGGACACATGCGGACACTGGACACATCTGCACACATCTCTCCCTTTATACTTCATTCTGCCCCTCTGCTGCCAACCTAACGAACAAGTCCTGACATAGACTGCTCAGAGGTGGTTTAACAATTCCATGTCGAAGATGCATCCTTTCTATCAATTATAACGAAGGTATTTACAAACTGGCTAATTCATTAACTCTAGTTTTTATCCTACGTTGTCACCCCAGACATTCATAAAGCTTAGATGTTGCAAAATAATGAACTTTGTCCACAATAAACACAGGCACTTTACTAAAAATGCTCATACAGACCTGTGCTTATCATCTAAAACCATCTTCTAGATATAGAGATACTAGCAAAGAGCCCTTCCCTTCACCCCCTTCCACCATCCCCAGTGACCAAGTGTAGGACGTCTAGCTCCAAGAGGTGGACTATAAAGCTCACTCCCAGAAGACAGGCCTTCCTAAAAACTAACAAAAGGACATTCATAAAGGCACTGATTTACTACATCTATTTTTAGCATACTTTGAGCTTTAAAACTTGTTTATTCTTTAATACACAATATTAACTAAAATACACATATAAAACAATGGTTAGACCAGCTGAACTAATCTCAGGGTCACAGAACCCTTTTCCCTGCATACCTCCTCCTACCCCACCCAATGCCACCCAATGAATAGTCAGCATAAGCTCCTAAACATCAAGTTTTAACAATTCCATTCCCAAATGCAACCCATCACTCCCAGGAAGTAATGAAAACAAATGCTTAGAGGGGTGTTACTTTAGCCCTCTACTTTTAACCTATGTGGTGCCCTTTTAAACACCTAGAAAGACTAGATGTTTCAATCTGGACTTAACTTTTCCATTATACACACAGTAGCATTGAATAAATGGTATATATACATAACACGGACCGTAATGGGAACATTCTGGCCTAGAACCCCCTTCCCTTTCCGACCTCTGTCAACCCCATGGAAAAACTATCAATTACAGCCAACTGTAATGCTGAGAGGATTTTAACAATTTCACATCTGTTTTTAAGAAGACTTCTCTATGATATCTAACACAAAGTGTACTCAATGTATGAGTTTACTAATTCTACTTCTGTTATACACTGGCAACCTCTTTAACATTGACTACATGTATAGTAGGAGTCTTACGTCCGCTTATAATACACTGTATATACAGCACAGTAAATGAAAATGCAGATGTAAGGGACAATGGCAAATGTGCCTCATCATAAACACATTGGCAGAAAGCCCCTTGCACTCCTCCTTCCCCCAAAATTGCACAAATATCTTAATGTCTACTGCTCAGAGAATTGATCAATTTCCAAAAGACGATACTTCATATCAAAAGGATAGCTACAAAATGTGTTATTTACTACCTCTACTTTTAACATTTTTTGTGCACTTCTAAACATCTAGAAAGACTAGATGTTTCAAATTAGGACTTAAAGTTTGTCCACTATATATACAGTAGTGTTGAATAAACTGCACACAAGTAGCAATGGTTATATCTGTAAAGTGTCTTCTAAATAAGAACATTCTGGTCTAGAACTGTTCATTAGTTCCAGCTCCTCTCCACCACCAACGTGGTGGATATAGGCACATGTGTCACTTAAAGCTGATGTAATTTCACTTCCGAAAGTCTTTTTCAGAAGACAGCCTTTCTATGAATTTTAAGAAAGTGTACACAATGTGTTAGTTTACTAACTCTACTTCTGTCATACATTGGCAACCTCTTTAGAGACTAGATATTATAAAATTGGGACTCACTTGTCCAGTATATATACAATATATACAGTATAGAAAAGTTAAATGAAATGCATGCAACATATAGGCAATGGATTAAGTGAAATTTTCTAACAAACAGTGGCAAAACACCTTTTGCAATTTTTTCCCTCCCACCTCCCAGGTGGTTCAAACAATTCCACTTCCCAACAGCATTTCCCATCAGTTTTTAAAAACTATTTACAAAAAGTATTATTCTGCTACTACTTTTAAATACATCAAGTACTTCCAACTATCTAGAAAGACTAGATACTTCACATAACTTGTCCAACACGTACACAGCACTGGTAACCAAAATTGCACACACATAACCATGGTTATCATCTGAGGTATCTTCTACATGTGACCATTTTAGCCTTGAATCATTCCCTTCTCTCTTCCTTCTCTGCCTTCCATCCAGTGGACAAATACAGACAGGTGTAATGCTTAGAGATGGCTGAACAAATTTCTCTGCAAAAGTCATTTACAGAAGACGAGTTTTCCTATGAATTTCAACACAAAGTGTACAAAATATGCTGATTTTCCTAAATAGTTTGTCATAACACTGTCAACCTCTTTAACATCTAGAGACTAGATGTTGAAAAATTAGGTCTCATTGTCCATTACATACACTGTATACAGAGCAAAACAAAATGCACAAAACATACAGAAAAATGGTGTCTGAAAATGCCCACGTATGAACATACTAGTATATTGCCTTTTGCAATTTCTCCCCTCCTACCTCCTGTAAACCATTGAACAAGTATAGACAGTACTATCCTGTTCACAAAGGTGGCTTCACAATTCAATTTCCAAAAGTATTTCTTATGAATTTTAGCAAAAAGATATTTACAAAGTGGTATTTTACTACCTCTACATTTAACATACATTGGGCACTTCTAAACGTCTAGCTAGACTAGATGTTTCAAATAAGGAATTTGTCCACTATGTACACAGCAGTCTTGAATAAACTGTAAACATGTAACAACAGTGAAAATTTGAAAGAGTCTTCCAAATGTGAACATTCTGGCCTAGAACCCTTCCCATCTCCATCAACTCAGTGGGCAAGAATGCTCAAATTTTCAGAAGACAACCTTTCCTAAACTTGTAAAACAAAATGTACAAAACATTAGTTTACTAGCTCTACGCAACCTCTTTAACATCTAGAAAGACTAGATGTTGTAAATTAGGCCTCGTTTGTCCTTTATGTACACCATATACACGGGTAAGTAAAACAAAATGCACGGAGATGATTCATTGGCCTCGTTGTAAGCAGGGTGGCGTAGAGCTCTCTGCACCTTCCTGCCCGCCCCTCCCGCCCCAGCTAACCACACAGTAAGTATTACCCAACAGGTGATTCGGCCATTTCCCTCCCCAAAAACATTTCCTATGAATTATAACAAAAAGATATTTACAAAATGTGATTTTACTATCTCTAATTTTAACATATATCACGCACTTCAGAACATCTAAAAAGAACAGACATTTCAAAAAAGTTTAGCATTGTCAACTATATATACAGGACTGAGGAATAAAATGCACACAAAACAATGGCTAGAATATGAAAATGTCTTCTAAATGTGACCAGTCTAGCATAGAACCTTTTCCTACTTCTCAGGTCTTCCAGCTCCATGTCATCTAACCCACTGAACAAACGTGGACTATCACTTCCAGAGGCCACCTGACAGCTCCATTTCCAAAGGTCATCTCCAGAAGACATGTATTTTCTATGATTTCTTTTAAACAAACGAAAATTTACAAGATGTGTGATTTTCTAACTCTATCATATGTTGGCAACCTCTTTACATCTAGAAGGGCTAGATGTGACAAATGTTTTCTATTAAAAGGTTGGGGTGGAGTTGAGAGCAGCTTTTTCATATTACATACACAGGCCTTCCATAAACGGCCAGTAACTCTTCCCAGAGGGTGGTGGGCATCACCAGCGGGCCAAACATGGCCTGTCATTCTGCCGTTTCTCTCTTCCGACAGCAAAGTTTGGTAGAACGAAGACCAACCATCCCGATGGCGACTAACCATTCCACCCATCGACGTTCGGAACTTCGCTCACCTCCCAGGCCCGTTAAGGCCTTTGTCCGTTGTCATCAGGACTAGGCAGGTCTCGCCCGATGGGGACAGAGTGGTCACCGGGACCTGCATCTGCGCAGCTCCGTGGCCCAGAGGTGGCCGAGCCTGCCTTCCCGGGCCATCTGTGACCTAATGACCTCTGCCACGCGGCGTTCGAGTGGCTGCCATGTTTCCTGGCCTGCCACTCCCACCGCCACCCAAATGTGCTGCGTCCCAGCAGCTCAGTGGGGGCCCGGCAGGCTCGGGCCGGGATACCAGGCGGCCAGTTCAGGCTGGGAGAGGCCGCCGCTGCCATCAGTCATCGAGGTGGGGTGGGGAAGAGAGGTTCGCCACGGCTTGAAGGCCTGGGCTTGGCCAGTGGGCAGCCACAGCGGAGGCCTCCGGTGTCTTCAGGACAGAGGGCCTGGCCTGTCCCAGGGCCCCCCAGCTCACCCGCCGGCCCAGGGTCCCCCAGCTCACCGGCGCCTGGGCCAGAGGGCCTGGAGGGCCCTGGGGGAACTCTCTGTGCTCTGCGTCTCTGTGCGCTCTCTGCCCGACAGGAACTCTAGAATTAAGTTTCGATGCTGCCTCTGCCCCCGGCTGGCACAATGATGGATTCCATGCAGCAAGCTCTGGACCAACTGAGAGCCACAGGGACCCCGACGCCCTGGAGCCTCATTAAGGAAAAATAAAGATGGGCAAGACAGATACACAGAGGCCAAGAGGCCAAATGGCACTACATGGCATCGTCGTGCAAACTGCTGGGAAGAGCACAAAAGGAAGCATCCAGAAGCTTCAGTCAAGCTGCCACAATTTTCTACAACATGCTAAAGCCGTACTTCTTAAACTTACGCATAGGCATCTGAGAGAATGTTGTTCAAAAGCAGAGTGGGGTTCAGTGGGTCTGGGATGGGACCCAGGGTCCCGTATTTCTAACAAGATCCCCAAGGATGGCCAAGCTGCTGCTCCTGGTACCCACCCGAGCGTCATCCTTGAGTATTCCCTCACAATCAAAGGAGCACATCCTGGCCTAACCATAATTTGTGTTGCAAAAAGACTTGGGACCTTATGAAAAAAAAGGATGCATTGCTGAATGAAAACCATGAAAAGGATATGTTTACAGCGTGGACAAAATAAGACCTTGACAAAGGGATTTTGTCACGGCTGAAGAAAGGCAAGGACGCAGTGGCTCATGCCTGTAATCCTAGCACTTTAGGAGGCTGAGGCCAGAAGATCGCATGAGACCAGGAGTTTGAGACCAGCCTGGGCAACATAACAAGACCCCATCTCTACAGAAGAAAAAACTTAAAAGTTAGCTGGGCGTGGTTGTGTACACCTGAAGTCCCAGCTACTCAGGAGGCTGGTGGGAGGATCACCTGAGCCCAAGTAGCAGTGGCACTGAGAAGGGAGACCCTCTCGCCTCCTTCAATTTCACCTCTTTCTCTCCCAGACTTCCAGATGGAAAGGAGAGTGAAGAAAGAAAATAAAGAAAATAAAATACCAAAAAGCTGGGAAAATGACTCCCTCTTTAGTTCTCAGCATCTCTGCTATCCGTTAACCTTGAAAGAGCTACAAATGAATGTTATCCCTGCCGGCTGGAGCCCACCACTGGTTCACACCCGCATGTCTCCACGGGCCAGGCTTCCTACTGGAAATACCTCTGCCAACAAACAGCTTCTTGCTATTGCCTTGTCTCTGTAAGCCCCCTTTCCCTTGTTGGTCTCCACTCAGGCTGCATATGAATTAGCAAATCAATGAAGCCAAAAGATTGTAAGGTCGGATGTCCAGCAAGTGGACAGTGACATAGTTCTGCCTCAGTTTCCCCTTTAGTGTTGTAAGCCTATAAAAGGGGAGAAAAGGTGCAGCTCAGGGAGATCGGTGAATGAGGCTGTTGCCCACCGCGGCTCCTGGCTGAATAAAAGCCACTTCCTTCCTCAATTTGGTGTTCAAGAGGTTTGTTCCCCACCGCTTCTGCTACAGCACCATCATGCAGTGAGCCGTAATCATGCCACTCTACTCCAGCCTGGTGGACAGTGAGACCATGTTCCCACCACCCTCTCCCCAAAGAAAAGACAGAAAAGAAGAAAGAGGGCGCAGTGACTCACACCTGTAATCCCAACACTTTGGGAGGCCGAGGCGGGCAGATCACGAGGTCAGGAGTTCAAGACCAGCTTGGCCAACATGGTAAAACCCCATCTCTATTAAAAATACAAAAATTAGCTGAGCATGGTGGCGCGTACCTGTAGTCCCAGCTACTCAGGAAGCTGAGGCAGGAGAATTGCTTGAACCAGGACCTGGGAGGAGGAGGTTGCAGTGAGCTGAGCTCACACCACTGCACTGTAGCCTGGGCTACAGAGGGAGACTACGTCTCAGGAAAAAAAAAAAAAAAAAAAAAAAAGAAGGAAGAGGAAAAGGATGAAGGTGAAGAGGAGGAAAAGCAAGGGAGTTGATTTTAGCCATTTTCCTTGTTTGTAAAGCATTTAGCTCTCCTGTGCACAACTTGTTTCTTTTGAAAAAATAATAAGAAACCTGAAACAGCAGACTATGTATTTATGTTTTACTGTCTTCATTTAAGTGAAAAGAATAAAAGGTTTTTTTAGACTTCCAGTGCCAATAATACTTAATAGGCCCAAAGTACCTAGTATTTAACATTTACTTCTAACTGTACTATCCCCACATTGAAACATTTTATTTCATCCCTTCCCACACCCCAAAATTAAAAACACACATTACCAGATCCTGTTCGTTTTTTTTTTTTTTTTTGCCAGGTGGATGAACTAGAACTGGACTGAGAGAAAATCCTCACACCTCAGTTCTCAACTCTCCGCCAACTGAGCTGAGAAGGAAACAGAGGAGCGACATTCTTTCAGTTCTGTTAAAGATACTTTGAGGTATATAGTAGGTGTCTGAAGAATGGCCAGCTTACTGTACCACTCTTTGGTGGGCAAAGTACAAAAATTCAAAGCCTAAAGGATTCCATTAAGAAAAAAAGAACACCAGGCACAGTGGCTCATGCCTGTAATCCCAGCACTTTGGGAGGCTGAGGTGGGCGGATCACAAGGTCAGGAGTTCAAGACCATCCTGGCCAACATGGTGAAACTCCATCTCTACTAAAAATACAAAAATTAGCGAGGCATGGTGGCGCGTGCCTGTATTCCCAGCTACTTGGGAGACCGAGGCAGAATCGGAGGTTGCAGTGTGCTGAGATAGTACCACTGCACTCCAGCCTGGTGACAGAGCAAGACTCTATCTCAAAAAAAAAAAAAAGAGAAAGAATCGCCTAATAAAATATAGGTGTCTGAGGACCAGTTGTGCAGACAATCAAGCTGGAGCTTCCCATTTTGCAAGAGTTGGGACTGCACAGTGTGGAGGGATACGACTCTCTAGACTTCTCAAGACTGCCTTTAAAAAACTACCTCAACTTGGACTTTTAATCAATGATCTTGCAGCAAGTCTGTATCTGACCAGGAATTAGAAACAGCTTCAGATCCCTGCTGAGTGACTCCAAGAAAGTTTGCTTTGGGGTGGGTGGAGGTCTCACCCAACTCAGCACTTCCTATTATCTGAGTAAAATAAATGTAAGTGGAAGGCAAGAGCTCTATAAATATTGGATATCACAATTGTATTTTCAGGTAGAATGGCAGGTGTTCTGTAGAGTCCCTGTAATCACCAGTAACTCTTACAACACTTCATGGGGTTGTATTAGTATTTCCTGACCTGCTGCCGCTGACACACGCCTCCACGGTCAGCTGGACCAGTGCTACTCGTCACCGCAATGCAGCTAACTGGACGGTCCACCGGAGGCGTGGACTCCTAGGGAAAAGGCAGCTTGTTACGAGCTCCCGCCAAAAAAAAAAATCAGTGCATCCCTCTGGTCCTGTTTCCTCATCCCGAGTTTCCCCGCTGAGACCATAACGTGGCCGGCCCGAGGCTGGAGGCGCGGCGTGTCCAGGGCTCACCTGTGTCCATCCTCCAGCTGCTGGCACAGCTTGGGCTCCAGCTGCAGCAGGCAGAAGTCGCCGCTGGCCGGCGGGCCGAAGCTCAGGCAGCGCGCAGCGATCAGCAGCGTGGCATCCACCTCCTCGCGGGTCCGCTTCATCGCAGCGCCCAGGTGGCTGCGGGTTTGGCGGGCAAGAACGAAGCTCCCTAAGCAGCGGGAAGCGAGGACACCCGAGTGTTTGGAAAGCGCGCCGAGGCGGAGGGGACGTGTTTCCGGGGCGGGGCGCGCTGCGGGCGCGCCCTCGGGAAGGCCTGCAGCCTCTGGGCGCGCCAGCCCCTCCGTGCCCCACGCGGGGCCGCCACTGCAGGAAGGAAACACGGCTTCCCGGGGGGCGGTCTCGGCGGAAGCTCGCAGGAGCCGAGCTGCGACCCGGCGGGGTGGGACACGGATCCCTCGCCCACCCTTTCCGCTGCGCCCTTGCCCGCCCCCCATCCCCGCCTCCAGCCCTGGTTCCCAGCAGCCGACGCTCTGCTTTCGTCTCCATCCACGTTATCTCATCTTCCGCCAGTGGCGGGCCCTGTGGTAACCACTTGGCTTGTATAATTCCATAATCCCGTTGCCACAACCCTGTAAGGTGGGCCCTTGGTCATTCCCTTTTGCCAATGAGGAAACAGGCTCCTTGCTGGTGATGGCAGAGCCAGGAGGTGATAAAGTCTGACTCCAGCCTAAGCGACTGTGGCTCTAAAAGCTTCCTGCGGGGTTTCGTGCAAATAACCCATGTTCGGGAGCGCGGGCCAGGGTTGAGTCGGAAGCAGTATCTCACTTCTTTCTTTTATTTTTATTTATTTATTTATTTATTTTTGAGATGGAGTCTCGCTCTGTTGCCAGGCTGGAGTGCAGTGGCACGATCTCAGCTCACTGCAACCTCCATCTCCCGGGTTGAAGCGATTCTCCTGCCTTAGCCCCAGGCAAGAGAATCACTTGAACCTGGGAGGTGGAGGTTACATACAGCTAATGTTTGTATTTTTAGTAGAGACAGGGTTTCACCATGTTGGTCAGGCTGGTCTCGAACTCCTGACCTTGAGATCCACCCGCCTCTGCCTCCCAAAGTGCTGGGATTACAGGAAGCATGAGCCACTGCCCCCAGCCCCACTAACCGCTTTTAAAACATCTGAATGCATAGGAGTTTGGCGGGATGAAATCCTGAATGTGAAAGTTGCCGGATGAGAATTTATTGTTGAAGAGAACCGTTGTAGTTGCTCTATTAAATAGGAAACATTCCCTACAACTAGAAGCAGTGTAGTGTAGAAACCTGACATTCACATCAGACAGGCATGCCTGGGAATTCCAACGCTCTTCAGCACTTTGCGACCTAAGGCAATTTACTTCATTTCTCTAAGTACAACTTCCTTATCAATTAAAAAAGGAGATGATAATACCTACATTCTAAAATGCACGACTGCTTAATAAATGGCAGTAGTTCTTTTTGCTTTTAGGTATCAATTCATTACGAATTTAATTTCCAATTAATGATATGATATGAAATTATTGCCATTAATTTGATATTCTGGCAGAGATTTGAACCTGGGTTCCTCTCATAAGATAGAATGATAGTTTTTATTAATTCATTCGCTAAAATTATGTTAATATGTTTTTCTAAAGAAATTTTCTATACCTTTTCAAAAACCATTTGAAGTTAGCTTAATCACTCAACTGGTAGCAGGAAAAAAAATTCTTTTATCAAGTTAAAAAGTGAACAGTTATAATAAATTTCAAAAGGTCTGTTCATGAGAACAGAATCAGCTAAAATTGATTCTGGTCTCAAGGACAATGTACTGTTGATTATATTGCTCATATTGTGTTTCATGGCACAAAAAGGGAATTTTATTTACTAAATCATAGTTTATATTATAGAATCACACATGAACTTTTTTTCTTTATTTTTCCTCCCTTCTTCATTCCCTTCTTTTTTATTCAATACAGAGCACAGTGACTTCCAGGCATTCCAAAAACTGAAAATTCTGCCTTGGCGTAGGTCCTCCTTTTTATTACTGTGACTTTCTAACGGATTTTCTTGCTTTTCATCCCCCTTCCCACTGCCCATCCATCTCTATACCACAGTCAGATTAATTTTCCCAACATTAAGGTCTCCGGTGACATTGCACTCTGCTCTCAGGTCATCAACCCCTCCCTCTCCTGTCAAATCTCATACTCAAACCTCCCCTGGCTTCTGGCTTTCTGTGCTCTGTGTCATTCTGCCTTTGCAGACTTCACGGCCCCAAGTACTCTTCATATACACCATAGCCTAACCTACATGTGGCCCCATCCTTCCCTACTTTGATGCTTGTGTGGCCAGGTGTGTTTAATTTCAGCCATCATTTACACATTATTATTATGTGAGGTGGAGTCTTGCTCTGTCACCCAAATTGGAGTGCAGTGGCACAATCTCACCTCATTGCAACTTCCACCTCCTGGGTTCAAGTGATTCTCGTGCCTCAGCCTCCCAAGTAGCTGGGAATTACAGGCTGAGTCCCCATGCCCAGCTAATTTTTCTAATTTTAGTAAAGACGGGTTTTTGCCATGTTGGCCAGGCTGGTCTCAAACTCCTGACCTCAGGTGATGGTGATCCGCCCACCTCGGCCTCCTAAAATGCTGGGATTACAGGTGTGAGCCACCGTGCCTGGCCCATTTATAAATTAGAAGTGTTTTCATTAACATTTTGATTTTTCTTCTTTTTGAAAAAATCAGGATATCTCTCAACATGGGACTCATATTTCTGTGTAGCAGCAGGGGGCTGGAGCTGCTAATGGTTTCTTCATACTTCTCTTCAGGGCTGTGCCAGACTCCCTCAATCTGGAAACTTACATTATTCTTTAGTTCTGGGAAGCTTTATTATATGATTTCCTTGATAAGATCCCCTCACCCTTACCCCTACCCCAGATTTTTTTTTTCTTTTCTTCTTTTATTTCTTTTCTTGTTGTTTTCTTTCTTTTGATTCAGGGTCTCACTCTTTTGCTCAGGCTTGAGTGCAGTGGCTCCATCTCAGCTCACTGTAACTTCTGCCTTCCAGGCTCAAACTATCTTTTCACCTCAGCCTTCCAAGTAGCTGGGACTACAGGCGAGGGCACCACCATGCCTGGCTAATTTTTGTATTTTTTCTAGGGACAGTTTCACCATGTTGGCCAGGCTGGTCTTGAACTCTGGGACTCAAGTGATCTGCCCGTCTCAGCCTCCCCCAAGTGCAGAAATTACAGGGATGAGCTACAGTGCCTGGCCTGTTCTATATTTTGAAAATCTACTTTTTATATTTTCTTATACAGACATGTAAGTTTCAAGATCAGATATTTGGTTTTAGAAAGATAAAGAAAATGGGGGCCGGGCGCAGTGGCTCATGCCTGTAATCCCAGCACTTTGGGAGGCCGAGGCGGGTGGATCACGAGGTCAAGAGATCGAGACCATCCTGGTCAACATAGTAAAACCCTGTCTC